AACTCTATTATTGCACTGTGAACACACACAAATAACTTTTTTCCACGTAAATATTTAATTAAATTTTTGTAATTATATGTAAGATATATGAAATCGTGAAATAACATTTTGCGTTAACAGTTATTCCAATTTGAAAGACTCAAATATATTAACTTACTTTGTTTGCTGTGAAGTGACCTTCACCTATATATTTAGGAAAAATATGTTTAGATAACACTAACCTAACTCAACCCAAACCTATTTCCAACTTAAAGTTGAAATTAAAATTAATTTTAATAAATTAAAAATAAGTTGATTTAGGTTGGATTAAAGTTTTTCCAGAGTGGGCGTGCAAGGAAAGGGGCAATACTCGCGTTTTCTGTGCGATCATTATGCAATGTTTCTCTGTATCACACCGAATGTATATAAATGTTGATTTCTTCGTATATCTGTATATATCACTTTTATGTTTATAACTTTTGTTTAATCAACTACCGCTGACCTTGTTATAAAGGAGGTTACTCAAGAGCATGAGAATATGACAATATGTGTTAAACTCAGAGTTATCCTGAGATGCTGTTTTAAAAAGAAATAATTGCATTCATTTATTTATATATTTATTTATATATAGGATATCTAACATTAAAGTCCGCGCATGAAAATAGAGCACGTCAAGTTGAACACGAGGAACCCTGTCATTTTATAAATAATCACAATTTTGAGATATTAATAAAAGAAGATTAGTCAATCAGTATGCGCGACGTTGTGGAACGAGCTCTGTAGACACGAGCTCACCGAAAATGGTTGAGACGCGACTATCTTTTAGCAACGGTAGCCGACAGCTAAGAAGGCAAAGTAATAACAATTGTCCGCGCATCGCTCGTGTCATATTACTCCGCCTTTGCTGCCAACCGGTAGCTACCGCTGTTAAGAAGTAGTCACGTCTCAATCATTTTCAATGAGCTCGCATCTATAGAGCTCATCCCACAGCGTCGCACATATTGCTTCGCTAATCTTTTTTTATTAATACCTCAAAATTTCACGTGATTATTTACAAATAAGGTCCATCGTGCTCAAGTTCACACGCTCTACCTTCACGTCTGCATTAAACATCTTGTATATATGAGATGTCCATATACATTCCTGTATACACAAGGTGTTACAATATATGTCAAAGTTTGGATAGGACAGATCAAAATGAGTAGAAAAGTCCCGTACTATTTTCCGAACCCCGTAAAATTTTGAATTATTAGTGAAGGAAGATTAACGAACTAGTACGCGCGATGCAGTAAGACGGCGCGATCACATGAAAAATGACTGATTTTACGCGATCGTCTCCTAGCAGCGACCAATGTCGAATAATAGTGAAAGGCGGAAAACAAATGCGAGCAACGTGTAACAATTGTTTGTAATAGCATCCAATATTGATTGTTACTCATAGACAATCGTGCGGTCAGTCATTTTCTATGTGATCGTGCGCACTTTTACTTTACTTATTTATTACTTTACTTTATTAATTTGCTTTCATTAATAATTTGAAATTTTACATGGTTGTTCGAAAAACTGTGGAAGACATTTTCATTCATTTCAATTCATTCTATCTGCACATAAGTTTTGATATATGTTGTGACGGACACTCTGTATACAACTGTATACAACTCTGTATACAACTCTATACAAATAATTCTGCCACCGCTCACAAGGGCATAAAACGCGGAAACGATTAAAGTGAATAAAAAAAGTTTCATACCGTTTTGCGATATTCGCAATAATTGAAATATTAATCGATATCGAGATATTAATTGAGATAATATTTCGATATCGAGATAAAATCGGAAGAACAAATACGCCTTGGAATGATAGAAGAGGAGCGCTTGAATGGATAGCACGGTTCAGTTGATCAAGCAACGGTTGCCGACATGTGACGAAAGAGAAAACAACGCGCCACTACTCGTGCTTACACCTCCCCGCACCATACCAAGGCTCACGTCGATACTTGCTACTATTCGTGATTACAATTACTATCAAAAATCACTTTACACGATAGCAAAAAGAGTTCAAATTGAAACCGTTTGTGATAGAAACGTTTTATGATAAAAAATATTAAGAGATAAAAAGCGATAGAAACCGATAGGATCTATAGAGAATCTTATTGTTTTCTATCATAATCTATCATTTCACTATATCAAATCCGAGAAGAATGATATCGTTTTCTGCACAAACAAATTCCGTCCAAAATTATCTGCTTTCTAAATTTTGCGATGAAGAATATTCATTTCTATTTAAAAAAAGCTTTGAAATAATCGTGAAAATCGCCACATATAATGTATAATCTATTTACTTTTACATCAAATCTTTTTAATAAGTAGAAAAGTATGTAGTTTTAATGTCATAATTATACATCTTCAATACCATCATATACCCTCATATATCATCATATATTCTCAAAACTTTACAACTTTATATTCAATATTTCTTTATATAACGTATATTTTAGAAGATATTAATTTATATTTTTAATATTTATATGTTTATATTTATATTTAATATTTATATTTTTAATATTGTTTTGGAACACTTTGTATAAAATTTTTTCTGTACACTTTCCGTATATATTTTTATATTTATAAGTTCTAAATTAAAAGTAGTGCAATATTCTTTGAAATTTTCCTAAACAAAACAAACATATGTTCAGCATGTATAAGCTGCAAAATTTTGGCAACAGTTAAATATTTATGCCAATTAACAACTCGAAATGTTGATTTTAAAATTATTTATTTTTTGTCATATATAATCCAATTCATTTTCACATATACTTTCATTATGTAGAAGCATTTATAATTCTGTACTAGTATGACGTAAAAAAAAGACTGCATTTTGTTATAAAATTTTTATGTAAAGGTTTTAAACATGATACTTCCTTAAGTGTATAATATATATATAATATACAGGGTGTTCCATTTTAAAAAACGCACCTCGATAATTTTTTAACAAAACATTTTCAGCAAAAATGTTTCAGACAAAAGTTGTATGATTTCAAGGGGAACATAAAACAACTATATGATTTGATTTACAAATGGCACCGCTTTCGAGATATTTACTGATCATTACTTTTCTCAAACGGAAACCCCAATTTTTTATTATACCGTCCTTTTCTACCAATTAATTTAAACAATTAATTTAAACTTTTGTCTGAAACATTTTTTTATTTACCTAATATTTTTTGAGATATTTAAGGAAAACTTAATCACTTTTTCAATATTTAATTCACAATATCTTGTTAACTATATGTCGGAAGGAAAAGTGGTACTAGACTTTTCTGCTCTATTTAATCTGAATAATATATTGTTATAATAACTCCCTGACTTTTGTTAACTTACTGACTTTTAGAAATTTCAAAATCATCAAATTAACAAAAATCAGGGCGCTATTGTAACAATATATTCTTGAGACTAAGTAGAGCAAAAAAGTTACTTTTTCTTCGGACAAATAGTTAACGAGATATCGTGAGTTAAATATTGAAAAATTATTAAGTTTTCTTTAAATATCTCAAAAAATATTAGGCAAATAAAAAAATATTTCAGACAAAAGTTGTTTAAATTAATTGGTAGAAAAAGACAGTATAATAAAAAATTAGGGTTTCTATTTAAGAAAAGTAATGATCAGTGAATATCTCGAAAGTGATGTCATTTGTAAACAAAATAGCTGTTTTATATTGAAATCATACAACTTTTGTCCGAAATATTTTTGATGAAAATGCTTCGTTAAAGAATTATCGAGGTGCATTTTTAAAAATGAGACACCCCGTATAAGTGTATATATGGGTATATAATATTCGTATTAAAATACGTTGTAAATGATATAAAAATCGAAATTAAATTATTTATGGGATTATGGGCAAAAAAAAAATTCCATAAATGCAATTTATGACTGAAGGATTGCCAAGGAAAACTGTTGAAAGAAAAGTCATCGCAATTTTATCGATATTCCTTCCCGAGATAGAGTTTTTTACAGCTTCATTTTTCATCGTGAAATATATGTCAATGCGGAGCACATAAGAGAATACTTTCACGGAAGATCGCGGAAAAAGCTAAATAGCTTGTTAAATGTAAATTTATCTATTTAACCATAATCCTGATAGATTCAAGTATGTGCAGCTGGTACACATACAATTTATCGAAATTTTGATTTCACGTGAATATGAAAGACAGAACCAAATCTCGCTGATGTGAACTTCTTGAGAGATAATGGATGACGGAGACATTTAACTTTCTTAATGAAATGCACGACCGGCGAAGTTTTTTGAGCCGTCAAAGCTTGCAGGAAAAGTTAAGTGAGTCGTTTAACTACCCAAACTTTAACTAATCCTGAATTGATATATTTATTTTACTCGATGTATTTTTTCCGGTAAAGTCTGTTTCTATTTTATCCCGATACTTTATTTAATTTGAAAGAACAATCTATAATTTTTCGCTACCAGAAAATATTGAAAAGCAATTGAAAAGCCTTCTATAATATATAATATAAACAGACACGTTTTATTGGAAAATATCAGTTTTTATTATTAGTTTTATAATGATTATATGATTGGGAACATGAAAATATGAAAAATAAACATGAATTGTGTAAAGTATGTATAGAACTGATAGAAATCATATGTGTAATTAAAGTTCACGTATTCATATACGCACTTACCTTATAGCATTATTTATTTTGTAGGTTTCGACATTATAAGGAAATTATTTGTTATCTTTAATCGAGTACATAATTTCCTTTTACTTATTCCATTATTCTCATCGCTGGAGCGTATCTCCGCAATTAATTTTAATTAGCTGCGATATCTAGAATGACACGTATCGCAGCGTAATTGTACGGAATATCAGCTGTAACATCATGTACTAATAGCGAGTATTTGCGGTCGACTGACCAAACGAGCCGTCGATGAAATAAAAGCACTTCTCCCTTCCCTCTCCCCCTTCCCGGTAAAATAAAAACTCAATCGTTAACGCGGAATTTTCTAGGTGCGAAGCTGTATCAGCCAGCGATTATGTTGAATTTTCCAACTACATGGCGAGAGACCGAAAGTACCCGAGGCACTGTGGTCAACTGAAAGAATTCGACGTTTACAGCGATAGGAAGTTCTTTCGCGTAACGTTCAAAAGTAACGATCGCCTCGATGCTACGGGCTTTAACGCCAGCTACGTGTTCTTGGATGAGGAGGAAAATTACACGGTGAAGATACCTGTGAGCAGTGGATCGGCATGGCACGGTGAGGCTTTTCTCCTTTCATGAAATTAGTTAATTAATTATATTACAGCGCTATTACTACAGTTACCTGCAAATAGCTTCTGACTTTCTCAAATCAGTTGCAACATACTTGTAAGCTGGAAAATTGACAAGGTAAAAAGGGAAACATACACTTCATTGAGGAAACCCCATTCGTAAAAAGTTCTCTTACCATTTACTATGCTAGACATAGTGAGCGAAAAGATATAAATTTGCTATTATTTATATTTAAATCCATTCAAATTTATATTGCATACCTCGAAAGCGATCCGATAGTGCGAAATATGGGCATTATAGCTGAAAAATGATACGCGTGACATCGATTCAAATGAGAATATTTGATACACCGTATTGTATGAGCTTGTACAGCCGAATTTTTAAAAAGTTTGGATTCATATACGTTTCACTCACTTTCTGTTAAATCTGTAATGCAATCATTTATGATGGATAATGGAAATGAATAAATGTGAGCCGCGATATATAAAATTACGTAACTTTAACAAAATACATTGCGATTTGTAACGAACAAAACATTTATTATATCCCACTCACGGATAGTGAATTATATTTTTATGCACTTCCATTTATTATTATGTGAATATTCGTATTTGTTTTAATAACTGGTGTTATTATGTGAATCCAACGAGTTCAGAGAAAAGGACTAATCGCATTACGAAAAAAGATACCGCTTTATTATAAAAGATACGACATGTAGAGGAACAAAAAATAGAAAAGCAAAAGTGATTCTTCAAAAGAGAGCAAACTTCAACGTGATGGTATGGCTTAAAAGTACAATGTATTAAGTTTAACCGGATTCTAGGGTTAATACTACCTTTGAAATGTAACGAGTTCTGAAATTAATACGATCTCTGAAATTTAACCGGACCGTGTCTCGTTTCCCTTAACAGCTCCGACCTGCACATTTTGTAGACAGGTACGGTCACATTATGATTATTATGTTCCAGCTATTTAAACGTCTTCTTAGCAATTTCTATGACAGTTATTTCTCGCCGCTCTTGATTTTTCTTTTTACGTGCACGCGTACAGCCTGGGAAAGAGAAGAAAAAAGAAGCAGAGATACGTGCAGACAGACATTCTGGAAAATAATTGAGTCTTTTGAACATAAAGAAAAGCCCGACAAGAGGAGGGCAAAACCCCGTAGAAAGATCTATTCTGAATTGCACGGAGATCCGTTCATTCGCATTCTCGTTCTCCCGCGCTCGGGAAAGCGAAAAGTCACGCGCGCAGCAGCGTAAATGGATAGAAGCGGCCTGGAAAAGGTAGCAGGCAGAATGAATTAAGGCGGTGTACTTTAGCCCGTTCTGTCAAATCGAATTGCGCGGAGAGAAACCCGTTATTCACTCGTTCGCGCCGGCAAACGGGGTCGAATGTCTCGGATTCGTGAAACTTTTGTTACAACTTGGAGCATTGTTGCACGCCCAATGGCCGAGTAGCCAGTACCGCTGCGCTTAATAGCTCGAAATACATCTTCAAGCGTTCGGTCGCTTTAAACGCCGTTTTAAAGCAGTAACAATTGCAAAATGGAAAAAATGCACTGACTTACGACAAAATTACACGATCGAGATCGTTATTGCACGAATTCTGCGGTTATGTACACTTGTTTGCGGAAGAATATTTGGTAAATATGCACATTAGGTCAACCCCCTCAAAAGTTGATGACCTTGATATATGTTGTTAAGGACATGTTCCTGAGTGTTATGCAAAAAATTGCAGCCGTCGCTCATTATTTATTAAAAAGTTATTATGTACAGCGTCATTAACGCCCGAATATTTACTAGGTCGAAAGTTACTAAACATTTTCAGCTGGACACATTTATTTCTATATACGCACTTATCATGACAATTGATCATCTAAACTATATAATTTTCTTGCTAATTATGCGTAACATTGGAACAGACAAAACATTATCTTACGCGATATACAGGGTGTCTCAAAACGCATGATTATCCTTTGAGGATGTGAAAGAGAATGAAATTCTGAGTCGAAAGTTCCTCTTCCATTTTTTCCTTCGACCATTAATAATAAAGTTATTAACGACTCACATAGCGAAACTTGATCCTAAATATGTCCAATAGATATATCACAAGGGACTTAGTGATATCCAGAATACATTCGTAAAAGGCCGAAATATATACGTATATAGGATGTACAGAGGACGTTTCTATGTCCGCTCATTAAACATCTAGAGGAAGTGATATGTGGATGTCATAAGGATATGTACACATAACAATATGTGATCCTACTAATATCCGTAAGATATCTTCCAAGTATTAAAAGTGGTGCTAAGGACATTCACAAGATATATCGCGATGAATTCTATATATCCCGAAGTCATCTTTGCAATACCGAAATAGGCCCGGTTGTTTCAATTGAAAGGTAAGTTGACTAACAATTAAATTATATGCCTATCTTTGTTTTTCGTTCGAAATAAACAGAGACAGATATATGATTTAACTGTTTGTTAACTTACTTCTCGGTTAAAACAACCGGGCTAGAGAAATAAATTTCATAATGGTTTGAATATATGTTTCGATGCAGTTTGAAATGCAGTCTGTCATCTAATGAGAAAACTACTTTTTTCGAAACGTGTTTTTATGCTAAATCATCAGCTGCGTTCCAAAGCACTAAGAACAAAATGCCCACACTGTTGTGAAATGTAATATACAAAATATGTACTGGGTAATATAATAATAATATATGCGTGTATCTGTATGCATAAAAAAATTTACTAGTTATTATTTGAGAAACGTGTAATACAATGTTTGTTTGAGTTGCATATAATGAATAAGATGTATTATATGTTCTACAATATATATAACTATCACACAATATATAGTCCATTTCTTAAAATAAAAAATGTATCATAAAAATATAAAACATTTAGTAAATATTAGACTATTAAGATATAAATGATTTATCTAAGTATTACGTTATTGTAAAAGATTATAAGACATAAATAATATATAGACTAACTTCTTTTTGTATTATTTGTGCTTTCTGGATATCAGTTGTTCAGACATAAACAATACATGTTAAATACCTAATTAATAAAAACAAAAACTAACTTACTGTAAGTGAATGGATCACAGTATCAAATAAATATTGCACCATAAGAAAACATTGCATCGCTATTTCTCAATAAACATCAATTAACACACTAGAACACCCTACGGATATCAGGATCGGATACCTACAGTTATGCAGATGTCTTGTGTAATTTGTGGCACATGTCCTCAGGTACTCCTATGGATAACTTTTTCATTTGGATCATAATAGGATCATTTTGATCAAATTAGGATATACTTTGGAGATCTAATGCTATGTGGGCGAGGAAAGTCGACCAATGCACTATGGGACGTTTCGCCTATTTTCTGGCCAAAAGTGGCAAAAATCAAAGTTGAAGTTCGTAATGTTTAACGACTGGAAAAGTTTCTATAAACATTAGTGAGACCTGGGGAAAAATTTAAGACCATTTGTTCCACGCAAAGTATTTTTTCTGTCGCATTTTGTGTTCGAAAATGTGTAAAAATGTACCTTGAAATCACGAAAGATTATTTTTTCTTTAATCTTTTTTTTCTCCTCCAATGTTAAAGACATACAAACCACTGCTTGAAATACATCTTTAGCATAAGTTAATGCTTGAAAATAATAACAATAAATTAAGCTTTGGCCATTCTGGAGGAGAGAACTTTAAACTTGAATTACAGAAAAGTAATGATTTTGTCAGTTTCTGATATTTAAAAGACTAGAGCTTCCGAATAACAAATAATAACAAGGCGATCTTTAGCTTGAATATTAGGTGGGACTCTACTCTTCCTAAAACCGTTTCGTAAATCATCCGATAGAACCTATCCGGGAGATATAATTTTTTAAAGTAAAGACAATCGACTATTTTTTTCTTAACTCTTTGTTGCACGTTTCATTCTAGTGAATATAATTTTGTGAAACTTATTACCCGGGGGTTTCTGGGGTCGCTGAGTACGAATCCGGTGTGAAAAATATAAAATTCAAAATGGCGGATCCAATATGGAGGACGGAATTTTTGAAGTCAACCGGATTCATTTAAAACTTGTCACTCAGGGGTTTTTGGAGTCGGTGATTACGAATCCGATGTCAAAAATACATGATTCAAAATGGCGGATCCAATATGGCGGACAATGAATGAAAACTTTTTCCAATTTATTTATTAATTTATTAGCTTACAAAAAATAATTAATACAAGAAAGCGTAAACTTTTTCCACCAGAGGTTATAGATCTATTAGTTATTAATGATACTTTGACATTAATTTAAAAGATGATGATATTTTAGATATTACTAGCGAAACTGAAGACGAAGATGAGTGCAACTTCGAGCTTGAAAATATAGTATTTCATTCAGACGATCTTGATATAGAAATGGGAGACAAAAATATTGAATAAGTCGTTATTAATTAATAAGTTTTAACAGTCATTTTCAATTTCAAGACTTGATCGACAATTTTTTAATTTTGTCGGGCGCCATATTGGATCCACCATTTTGTATTTATAATTTTTAAAATCATATTCAAAATTAGCGACCTCGAAAACCCCGTAGAAACCCTCCAGGTTTCATTTTTATGCAAAACAAACAATTTTTAATATTTTCGGGCGCCATATTAGATCCGCCATTTTGTATTTCTAATTTTTAATGTCATATTCAAAATTAACGACCCTAAAAACCCCAATATACAGACGTTCATCTCATGAAAACGAATCTTTGATATTTTGGCCAAAAAATAGGCGAAACGTCCCACAGTGCAATGGCATGGCGCGCACGACTGTCGCAAACCTCTTAATCGTCATTTTTAATCAGTAAAAACATAAAAACGATTGAAAACAAATTTAGAAATAGAAATTTTATTAAATGTTATTTTAAATGATAAAGACCAATGATTTTTCAGTGGTTTTGAAAAAGACTGATTTTTTAGAGTGCCTGTTCAAA